TTGTTGTGAACATTTTTGCAAAACAGCACCATTACGAGGTGTGTTTAAAAAGTAAGGTCACTTAAATTTTATCAGAAAGTATTTATTCATTGAACAAAATTAATGTTGCCCCCATCAAAGTAATTCCCCCAGACATAATACACGTGTGCCCGCGTTTTTTCCAATCCTCGAAGCACTTCTAGTATTCACTTTCTGGTATAGTCTTCAGTTCTTCCAGCGATATTTTCTTTATTTCCGCAATCGTTCTAAACCTGCTTCCTTTCATGGGTTACTTGAGTTTTGGGACCAGAAAAAAATCGTAGAGGGTCATATCCGGTGAATATAGTGGCTGAGGCATGATTGTGGTTTTGTTTTTGTCCAAAAAGTTTGACACAAGCAACTATGAGTGTGCAGGTGTATTATCGTGATGCACAATCAATGAATTGTTTTCCCACAATTCCAGACGTTTTCTTCATATTGCTTCTCTCAAACGGTGCATAACTTCAAGGCAATACTCTTCATTGACCGTACGACCTTGTAGTAAATGGTAAGTACTCCTGATGTACTACCACACGATTACGATAACGATAACAAGAAAACATTAAACAAAACCTTGACAGCATCTTCACGAGCTTTTTTCAGTCTTGGCGATTCTGGGTTCTTGCATTGGGATGCCTGGGCTTTTGGTTTCGACGTCATAACCATATGCCCATGGTTCGTCATCAGTTATGACCTTTTTGAGCATAACTGCTCTTCAGCGATGCTTTCGACAGTACTTTGGTTCAAAATTAAGCAGTTTCGGAACAAATTTTGCTCCTACACGTTTCATGCCCAAAAAATAAATTCCATGGCACGAACCAATAGCGATGCCGACGTTTTCCGCCACTTCTTTAACAGCGATTCGACGATTTTTCAACATCATTTGTCGCACTTCTTCAACCCTTTCATCAGTTATTGACGTGCTGGGGCGTCCAAAGCGGGGTTTATCATCAACGTCTTCTAGGCCATTTTGGAACAGCTCGTACCAATTATAAATATTTTTTTTTGCTCAAAGTAGATTCACCACATGCCGTTGTCAACATTTCAAGTGTTTTACAGCACTTTATTCCATTTTTTACACTAAATTTTATGCAAATTCTTTGTTTCACTTTTCTTGGCCGAGCAGATGAAAGAAGTCTAACGCTTCTGTCTCACAAAAAGAAGTAAACGTGCAAGATCGTATGTAGGTAGCCCGCTCAATTACAAAAGTTACTTTACTTTTTGAAGATACCTCGTACATACACTAAGTGAGGTGTGACGCGATCATCAGAATTGACAGACGTTGAAATTCAAGCAATTCAAGTAATACCTCCGTAGACATCCGATGACTCCCAAACCCGCGCTTAATATACGGGAAATTTCCGATTTTTACAGAAGAATGTAGAAAAAGAATATTATAGTTTTTCATTTGCTTAATAGATGCAAGTCTATTGCACTAAAACTACGACGTAATAAATAAATCTTTACTCGAATCAAAATAATTGAGCAGCATTGTCATGTGCCTATGGTAATAACCAGAAATGTTTATTTACAATAATATAGTGGGGGTTTACAGTACACTTGCCGCTAAGTTCGACAAAAAAATATTTTTAAATGTTAAAATAATACAAACATTTATATCTACTTATTATATTTGGTACCTCGTCAACTTGTGACGTTTCTTTAAACATGTGACAAACAGATAGGTATTATCCCCGACTCCCTTTTTGGGCAGTTAAGATCAATTTTACTTTTTGTATCTTTTATGTAATATGTCCACCAGGTTAATTAGAGTATAAATCCCTTCTTTGCAGAAACCATGTCACAAGCTTCGTCGGTCATGAAGTTTATTTGGTCCAGATTATATCATGTTACTAGATCCCATCCGACCGACACATCGATTAGTCGCAGTCGTGGATTATGCAAATTTATTCTTTTTATAATTGAATATTAAAAAAACTGACAAGTCGAATATTGCAATTTACTACAAGCGGTTTTATGACAACGTGAATATTAAAGAGAATCGACTGTTTTCCAAAATTTCGATTGGAACGGGTGAACCTGGCAGCGTTTGGTAATTACAGGCTTCAAACAGAATGGGAACTTTGAACTTTTTTTTTTTGGAGGGGTGAAAATCCTCATAGAACACCTGACTGGATGTTGTGCGTCAGGTGGTGTCTGACTTTTACCGACTTCCACCGACTCCACTTCCGGCCTCGGAACCACTGTTCGTATAACATCGAGGTCCAGAAGTTGGCCTTCAGATTACCGAACACCGTCTCGCTGAACAGGTCTGTCCGGTTCCGATGTTTTCCTCGACGACTCTCACGAGCTCTTCTTTTTTCGTTAGAGCATCTACGCCTCTGAGATGGACCGTTTCGGTTGGTATACTAGGACCGCAGTTTCTAATTTGTAGCGTCGGCGATGCTTTGGGCATGTCCTTTCTGAGCTTTTCCACCGTCTCTGCGTCATTTACATAGTGGGTCGCTATAGTTTGGTCCCCGTCTGTTTCGGCCTTTATTCTGTGGAGTATGCCCCAGAGGGTTTTGTCGGTGCCGTCGTGCGACATTTTTATGCTCTTTTTTGTCGCTGGGTTCTCCTCCGAGCGTGATCTAATTCTTACCGTCTCCTTTGTATTCCGCTCCAGTAACTTTCCTTCCGTCTGCACGTCGATGTCATATTTTAGGACGGATTTCTCAAATTTGTTCGCTTGGAACCACTCCGCTGTGGATTGCCTTTTTATTGTTTCAGCTCCCCTTTTCAGTCTTTATGCGATTTCTTTTATCTCCTTTTTGGTGTTTGGGTTCTCCATTATCTTGCGTTCGAGCTCTGTTGTCGCCTCTGTGATTATCTCCATTGCTTCAATGATCGCGTACGCCACCGGGTCTGCCCTGCGGCCATCGGTTTCGATCTCTGCGAACGAGGTGTCGGTAGTTTTTCTTTTTTTGGTAAATCCTAACTAGTTGCACCTCCTATGTCTTGCGATCTGCTCCATTCTTGTGCCTTGATTTTGTTTGTCCTTCACCGAGATGTCAGCTATTCCAGTAGTAAGGTTGTACGCAGTCGCCTGGTCTCCTACCAGTGACATGCTATTTGGAAGACAATTTAAAATGCTTTAGTTTAATTGTGTTATCGTGATGCATACTCCACCGCACAAAGCCGCTCAAGTTATTGCTTTAATCGAAAGTGGATTTCGTCAGGTAGCTATTGTATGCCAACGGTATTAGGAGACTGAATCCTTTGCTAGGCGCCCTGGAAGAGGCAGAAGGCGAATTACAACCTTAATGAGGTTCAAGTGCAGCAACAGCTCCATGAAGTTCGAAGAGAGGCTATTAGTCAGTGGATAGTGAGAAGGAGACTAGAGAAAAATAATCTGACTCCAAAAACAACTGCAATTGATCCAAAACTTACTCCAGCTCATCGACAAACACGCCTATGCTTTGCACCGAACCATCTAAATTGGACATTGGACCAATGGGGATCTGTTCTGTTCTCAGATGAGACCAGAATATGCCTTTTTGGTAGCGACCAAAACAAAAGTGTACCGAAGACCAGGAGAGCGATTTGCAGAACGCTGCAATGAAGAACGGAGCCCTTATGGAGATGGTTCCTGCATGATATGGGGTCCAATTTTTGTGTGGACGCACGAACCTAGGCACGCTAGGATATTTTAAGAAATCACGCTACATCGGTACCCCAACCTCGATGCTAGAGCTTATTGTTGCAGTAAGAAGAGTGGCTTAAAATTTCACACGAAACGATAGCGGACTTGATTCGATCTACGGCTAATCGAGTAAGAGATGTTATTAGGGTAAGAGGGAGTCATACCCATTATTACAAAATAAGTGTTGAGTTCCTAATTGTCAATAATCCTATTTGTTTTTATTATTAAAACAAAGTTAATTTTATTCGTGCAGTTATTTTACTATACTGGAGTCAAATTTTCACAATGGGTCGATTTCGATGCACTCAAATTTATTTCAGTTCAGTATTATAAATCTGCCAATAAAATTAAAATTGAGGCAAATTGGGCAAAAATCAGTAGCTCAGAAGATGACTCTAGATGTAAATGATTGGAGTCGTGTCACACGTGAATTTGACAGACCTTAAAGCACACCACGAACCTTTATATTCCAAAAATTAAACTGGAAATGTGTACTTAACCCAGAAAAATAAAGGCTGTGTTTTACTTACTTACTAGGGTGCTAATAAGGTTTCAAATCTTTAGGTGACTGTAAAAAGAAAAGTTCAATATAAAACTATTGCTATATTTCTTTGGGCTTTTGGAAAAAAAATCATATATATCATCGTTACCTTAACTTGCTAAATATTTCTATGAAATTATCCACACTCTTTCTTAGCAGAAGAATGTTAGGAAAAATCTAAATTCTTCAGCTGTTTTAGTAATACGAACGCTTTCCGGCGTAAAGAATAAAAAGCAATAGTTCAAGCATTTATAGCAAAGGAGACAAAAAAACAGTTTCTATTTTTTCTTATCATAATTTTCTTCTTTTATTATTATTGTCATAGATTGAAATTTTCCTCCAAACGAAGAGGAATTTCAAGGCAAATTTTTATTTACACAAAAAAGCCGTGGCGTGCCTATAACTTTTTCAAAAATATCTAGTCCACATCCTGTACTAGATTCCAAGAGAAAGAGAAACCAGATCAGCCTAAAAATAGTCAAAAACGAACACCAAAATGAGATCAGCCATTTCGTCATACATAAAAAGAATTTTTATTTTTTTACTCGAGGACCCAGTGGCGTAACTTTGTTGTATTTTTCGGTGAAAAGTGCACGTCGATGTTTAAAAGCTATGTACCAAATTTGTGAGATGCAGAGCAGATGCCATCTACAAATATTAACGAGACTAAACAGCAAACAATACACGGCTTGCATACACAGTAAGATAATATTAGACGACCAACTTCGCGCAATGTTCTGTTATCTGCTAGACAGTAATTTATGCCATAAATATTTTGTGTACTTCAGTGTCGAGCCAGGCCACGTAAACGCCATAAACTAATACGATAAAACGGCGGGGCACCTTAAACCACGAACGAGTTTAACAAATTAGGTAATAAGAGATAAGTTATTTGTATATTTAATCTAGTATCAATCTAAAGGAATCCTCTATTTATCTGCTTTTTTAATAATAATTATTATAATACTAATACCAATAAGTAGAGATACATAAATAGGAAATAAAGAGGGGAAAAGCTTACGAAATATTATATGAATATTTGTTTGTGAGCTGAACAACATAAATAAAGCAAAAAATGAATACATATAAATTTTAGGTTATAAGTGTGTGGCATATAACAGACGTGCAAAAATCGGAACAAACTATACGCAGCTTCACTAAGAACTAATAATAAAATAACTATTTTTTAAATCTACTTGTTGGTGGATATAAAGTTTCAGCTGCTGAATAGCCCAAACATTTATTTTCTTTTTATATCCATTGTATAGTCTTTTCTCGCAGTTTTTGCCTTTGAGATCGTGTCGAACAATGGTAAGCTGACAAAAAATAATTGTCTAACATCTAAGGCCTTTGCCCTTTGAAGGCCTTTGCCTTCTGAAGGATAAATCAGCGGTTTGTTATATATAAATTTAAGAACACACTTTTACACATTTTTCCTGTGGTAGTTATTAGTCAAACCACCCCACCCAAGAGACCGTATGTAGGATGTGGTTCAACCAATGCACTATACAACATTTTAGTTGTTTTATGTCACAAAATTCCGTGGCATTCTTGAATATTGGGAGAAGGGATCTCAATTTTTTTATCACTGTTATATTTTCAAGTGTCCATGTAGATACCGATGTATTTAACATAATAAATAAAATAAATAAAGTTAGGTCTTTATGGGAAAAGTAATTATACAACAATTTTAAGTCTTTTTGGACGTTATTTTTGAACACAGCCCATGATGCATCAGTATCAGTATACAAAACAAAGACGATTGGACCCAATACAGTTCCCTGTGGAACTCCATATTCAACCCTTCTTTCACAACTAAGCACACTATCCTGTGATGTTAATTTTATTTTAAGGCTACTCGCCTAAATCGTATACCCTCCGAAACATCAATCAACCTGTTGTGATTTGCGCTATGGAATGCTTTCTTAATATCTAAATAGAAAGAGATAAACAGAGTGATTTAAGATTTCTATTTAATGATTTAAAGATTTTTTCTGTCAGTGTAGTAATGGCATCTTTGACGGATTTACTGTTCTGGAACCGAAATTGATGGTGGTGTACGATTTCAAATTTTTCGAAATAGCAATCCCGTTTTTTAATATTTTTTCAAAAAAATTTGAGATCTCCGGAACGATAATGGAGACAGGGTGGCTGAAATTGCTGTAAAATTGGGTATATGAATACATAATCATATTATTATTCTGTTGAAAAATTTTAGTTTTGTTCCACTTCCGAAATCTGATTTTTATTTTTTTGGAATGCTTTTTAATTGTTCCATGAATGGAAAGAAATTAAGTACGAAACTATCAGTTTTCTCTGTAAAGTGTTTTAATAAGGAAGCTAGATATTTTACTAGAGAATACGTTAGGTTGTATAGCATGGTCACATCACCATCCGGCCCAAAAATCATAGGTTATCAACTGTCTTGTTTACAGAGAAGTAAAACTATCTCAGCCCGAGTCACTGAACCCAGAATTTAAACACCTTACCTCTGCTCTTCTCTCTAATAATCTCCACATTAAAGATATTAAGCGTTCGATCAAAAAATACCCTTCACCACAACCTTCCAATAGCAATGAGGCGGAAAGCAATCTTACACTTGCCAAAGTGGTCCTTTCTTACATTGAAAATATGCATCACATATCAAAAGTTCTCAAGAAGTATAACGTCAAAACCAGATTTACCACCTGTCCAAAAATCTCTCAACATCTTTGGTCCGTTAAAAATAAAATTCCATTTAAGATGCCAGGAGTTTACAGCATTCCATGCATATGTGACAAAGAATACATTTTAGATAAAAAAAGCCTTACGACTAAGACAAACTCATCAGCTTTTGCCGAACAAAATCACGAAACCGGACATAAAATTTTATTCCATAAAATTAAAATTCTTGCATGTAATCAATTCTTCTACCAACGAAAAATCCGAGAGTCTATAGAAATCTATAAAAAACCTAACAATCTTAACCGCGACTCAGGTCTCTATCTGTCACCAATATGGGAGTCAGTCATCCGAGACGGTGTTTATATCCCTCATTTAGCCCCGCCCCCTCAAACAATATATAAGCAGGTACAGTAAAATGAGAGCCAGTTTCAGTCAAGTTCTGAAGGAGCCCACCGGATGATCGGCGAAATGTCAGCAAGTTCGACTCAGCAAAAACCGACGCAGGAGGAATCCAGAAGTTTTGTAAAAAGTATTACAGTAGCCCGCGGAAGTTTCTTTGAAAAAAAAAAGATTGCTAATGTTCGAGAAAATCTACAATTACATTGTCATTCATAATATATTAATGTAATGGCTAACTAATAATATTACTTATTACAAAATTAAATGGTTTGTTGAGTGAACAAAACAAAGCTATTGAATGTGTTAAAAAAACTATAACTTATTTGAAATTTTTTAATAAAAATTGCTAGATGATAGTGAGCTCGGGAAAATCTATATGCCTCAAATTTTGTTAGGTATAGATGCTTTTTCTCATGCACTTGATTGGAGACATATCAGGAAGAATATAGTATCAAACGTTACAAAATGCGTATCGTAAAACTGCACCCTGATGATCTCGAAAAGCGAGTACAATTTTGTGATATTTCCTGAGCTGTCTCTCGAGGCACTTACATGAAAATACGGTTTCTGCTGGATCGAAGTAAATTTAGATCGTGGATTGGTGCCGTTTCACATTTATTTTTAATCAAAATTAGATTTTAAAATTATATTTATTTATATTTTGCTGTTCCGTAATCTACACAGACGCACAAATTCTTATTCAAATATTTTGTGCACATGACGAATTAAAGTAATTAAAATATTTTATAATATGATATACAAAGGAAAAACACTTTTAGCGATTGTTGACTTTAGAAAAAAAATAATTTCAAAGAGCAGTTTCAAATGTATTCGTCGCAACTCTGTACCAATTGTAGCAACGTGTTCCTTACTCTTGATACCCAAAGGATTTTTATTTTTATATTGGTTACTATGCTTTATATATGCTATTTCAAAATAAAGGTCATTATAAACGAGGGTTCTGATGATGGGTTTTTGGAAATACCTTAGCCAATAACATTTTCTTTTAATGTAATTCGCCGATACGAACGCTATATTAAATATTTATTAAGATTGCTAACTAATTGCAAAAAAACTTCCACAGGCTACTGCAATATTATTTACACATCTTCTAGATTGCTCCTGAGTAGGTGGTTTGTAAATCAAACTTGTTGACGTTTCGCCAGTCGTCCTGTTGCTCCTTATCTGCTTATATATTGAAGCTCTGAAGAAGCCAACAGGGTGATTTACCGACGCAGGAGGAATCCAGAAGAAGAAGAAATTGAAATAATTTACAATTTAATTTGTTACATATAGCACCTCATGCTAATAACTGCAGCAAATTCCATTTTCCAATTTAATAGTAAGATCCTTTAAAACAATCCACAATAAGTTGGAAAACAAACGCTAAAGTTTTGTAGCCGTTTCTTGAAGATTATCTTTAGGATTTTTGTTTTGTTATTGTAACCACTTACACATAGAGAAAATTTTCACGTATCTAAATGTATCTAAGGATATATATGTGAATTGTAATTTTGCACACGTTTTTCACCGGGTCGTGTTTGCGATAGAAAGCGTTGCATGTAGCTATTCTCAACGTTATTCTGTCTTCAAAATTTCCCCCGCAAAATTCGTGACCAAACTGATAATACAAGTCAGATGCATCTAATGGGATCTAATCGATCGTCTGGAATCAAATCGGTAGTTTCATACATTTTGCTATGCTTAATGTTATTGTTTTACGGTAAAATAATTATTCTTTGTGTGAAGTCACAGGGATAATATCCTCCAGGTTTTGCGTCTCTGAAACTTATTAAATCTGTTTGAGATGCTCTCGGACCTCCGAGAGTGTGTCGTGGGTTCTACGGCGGTAAATAAGGCACAAAATTTGAAAACTACCAAACTTTTACTGAACGTAACACTAGAAATTTCTAAAGAAACAATAATAATCACGGGACTTTCTTTATCCCCAGGAACTCCGTCCTGTGGAACGTCTTCCGCCCGTCTCCTCACCCTTCACGAACCGACTTTTTAATCGGGGATTGCAAATATCCCTTGTTGCCGCACACCACTTTTAATGGCGCACCACATGTTCCTGATCGAGCAGCTACCATCAGTGTCGAGATGAGGTGCAAACCATGACTTTCCAATTTGAGATCTGCAGTGTGTGAGAAGTATCATTGTTTGAATTGAAGTATATAAATTCGATCCAGAAACTCTGGACTAACTACAACACTAGAAGAAAAATGTACAAAACACCATGTTTTAGAGTCAATTAAAAAGTGAAAATCCGACGGATTCGAGTTCTTCGTGGAACATGTCTTGGTCAGAAATATAAAAGGGATGATTGGATTTCAATTCCCTTGAATATTCAACCAAGGCAGTAGCTGCCACGAATAGAATTTGTAATTTGTAATCAAAATTAACTATGCTACTTGCAAGTTCCAGTATAATTTGGACGAATATTTGATCTCGCCTAATTGTCAACCAATCCGTCGTACCCACAAAATTAAAAAAAATAGAAGCAGAATAATTTTTTGTGAAACGAAAGAAATTTCGTGATTTGCGATACACCTCATATCTCTGTTAATATTCAAGTAATGAAAAAATAAAAATAAGAGAGATTTTTTTACGTAGAATCCAACGGAGCAACTATTTTTTCCAGCTTTTTTGTAATTTTTCAAATAGGGATATTTTTAAATGGGACGCCACGTATTATTTCACGTCATTGTATTATATCCGCTTTAATTTTAGTGGTTAAACAAATAAACGCTTTGTCTGTCGAATTATTAATATTACAAAAATATTGCTGCAAATTTTATTAAACCATTTAATTTGTTAATTAAAATGATCTAAATATTATGGCTGTCAACGAAGACTTTGGAACATGGGACATGCTGCGTTGTTTTGTGCTATGTCGTGAAAACAGAGATACATCTCCGATATATTTGCACAGGTATAATAGAGAATAAAGTACGTTTTGCTTTTACAAATATGCTATGTAGGTATCCAGAATGAAGACAACCCAATAAAAAATATTTAGTAGGTTTAAAACCAACATAATAAATTTTGGATCTTTTCGCAAAGGTCGGCCAAAAACGTATAACAAGTCGTATCGGGAAATTACTTCTATAGATTATTGTAGAAAAATTGAGGATAGTGTCGGCGTTAAGAAATCTAATATTGAAAAATATCTTTCCAGAAACATGCGAAGAAGTCCCGTAAGCTCCATACGTCCATCTTGAAACAATAATTTTCCTAATCGTTGGATTGGCACACGCGGTTCCATAAGATGGCCACTCAGATCTCCAGACTTATCAGTACTTTCAGTACTAGTACGTGTACAACACGGATAAAAATACTTCATGAATAATCATTTTAACTTGAAATAATAATTTAGTATGTGATAGTAATTAACATTAATGAAATAAAATTAACTAATAGTAAAATTTATAAAATTTTGGTGTAATAGGGTTATTAAATCAAACATTTAATAACAATAGTGACAATAATTTATTTGAATTTCATGGCCTACTATAAGAAGCCTTAAAACCTTACAATGTTGAATACAGAGCTGAAGGAACCAGACAGCTGACATAAGAGTTAACTGCCAAACATCTGAAGAAGTGCCTATTATGAGAGGACTTCGACAAGGATGTGTGCTTCTGTTTAATTTATATGCAGACAAAATCTTCAGGCAAGCCGTCGAAGGGTGTAATTGCTAGGAACAGATAAGCACGATTTAAAGCTACTTTTATCAGCGGTAACAGATCATAGTCAACAAATGGATTACGCTTAAATATAAATAAAACCAACCAATAACATAACATAACTAATAACATAACAGATATCAGCGTAAATGGAGAAATAGTGGAGAGAGTACAAGTAGCATATTATTCTACGGTACGGAAGCATGGACGATCACTGAAACAATTTGTAAGGGGATTTAGGCTTTGGAATGTGGGCTTACCGGAGAATGTTGAAGATATCATGAGTGGACAGAGTGAAAAATCAAGTGGTTCTGCAACACATGAACAAAGGAAGGAGAGGTATTTAATGCTATTAAAAAAAGAAAGCTGGATTATTTAGCCCACGTAACCACGTAATGCGCGTATGGAAAATTAGCGGGAAAACGTGGTCCTGGTCGCCCAAGAACGTTTTGGCCTAGAAATCTTCGTCAGTGGTATGGAGTAGGCACTATGACATTGTTTAGATCTGCTGCTGACAAAATGAAGACTATGCTACCGATCGCCAATGTTCTGGGAGAACACGGCACTTGAAGAAGAAGCAATGTTTAAGAGGATTTAGGCTTTCGAAATGTGGGCTTACTGGGGAATGCTGAAGATATCATGAGTGGATAGAGTAATGAATCAATCGGTTCTGCAACACATGAACAAAGAAAGGGAGGCACTTAATAGCATTAAAAGAAGGAAGCTGAAGTATTTTGCCCACGTAATTTTTGGCTCAGAAATCTTCGTCAGTGGTATGGAGTAAGCATCACCACATTGTTTAAATCTGCTGCGGACTGATCGCCAATGTTCTGGGCACTTGAAGAAGTAGAAAAACATCACACACACTTTGCCAACAATTCCATTTATCTTCGTCTTTTTAGTATACGTTTCATTATCTTTCCAAGAGACTTGATAAAAGGAAGTAAAAAAAAACACGGCCTCCGTTACCACATTTTAATTTGATATTTTTTTCGGAGTATTATTATTACCACAATGTACAGTTAGTATACTAATATTCGATCTGATTAAAGTTCATATTGAATAGCTCACACATCACTATGACTTTAGATTCGCTCTATTTTAATATTAATAGTAACAACGTCAACATTAACCAATTTTCTGAAATTTTATTTATATTTTTTACACGGTAGTTGGTCGCAACTAGCACATCATAACGATAAATGAAAACACTATTAACCAGGACGACGGACTGCACTGGAGCCAAGATAGACCTCGGCCACCGTGCTGCATTGCGGCGGGATTCTCACCTGAAACGAGAAACAAAAATTAATATTACGCGGTTATCTTTAAAATATTTCGAAACGAGGTTGCTTTTAAAATGTTATATACCCGCACTATTTACTTAGACGAACCTCGGTCGCTTTTAGAATGGTTTTAATATATGTTATATGAAAAGGAAACAAGAACTTATTGTGTGCAACAAAGTTTAAGACGAAGACCTCTATTAGAGATTCGCATGGACTCAATAAACCTTCTTGAACAACGTGCGAATCTTTTTGACACAAGACTTAGTTATCATCATGTATCATTAGTTGTACCCAATGGAAAACCCATTTAAATCACTCGAATAAAATAAAATTGTGTAGTCGTCGATCAAACTAGTTTATCTGCTAGAAACAAAGGAGCAAAAACGATCCAAAGTTGGCTCACGAAAAATTAGTTTTTGGTAATTTTTGGATAGTATTTGCTTCTTTCGTGGTTTCTTTTAAACTGATTTAGCCTAGAAGTCTGAAATATACCCGATAACATCCATAACTAGAATAGAATATAGTCATTTTATAATACAAACTATAATACCAAAACGTGTTGCAAAATTTTGACATGATATCAAAGTTACCCGATAACTATGAGATATTATGTTAATTGACTATGACTCATAAATTTGACGCCATTTTGCACCACCATTATAAGGAGCTATTTAATAAATATCAATTTGTATTTATACTTATAATAAATTGGTAAAATTTAGATAAATAAAAACGAAAACAAAGCCGAATAGTTAAAAGAGTAAATATGAGAATAATGTAAAGGTCATCAAAAAATTATATATCTACGAATAAATTACAGTCAATTTCTGGTAGAAATTTTAAATAAAACCATATAGCTAGACTATACTAGACATATAGAGGCCCTGCTTATGCTGACAGTACAGGAACTCACTATGTAAAAAAGGAGTTGTCGTGCGCATGCGCGAGAATTAAAATTTCGTTTTTAACCAATGGCAGCTCTAATGACAAATCCTGACGTAGGACCCATAAGACCTCGCGGTTTTCAACAAAAATATGTCGAAATCCTATTAAATTTTCGCGGCCAAAAAGGATTTAAGGTCTGAAAAAATGCAATTTCTACATGTATTTTTTTATGTAAGCTATTTTTTTTGTAAATCACCGTAAAGCGTTAGTTTTCATACTCATAGGTTTAACCTCCATTTAAATTAACTTTGAAATGCTAGATATCGCACATGAAACATCTAAGTGAAAAAATGTTAAAGAAGCACCTCATATGTTTGCCAAGGAATATTTCTTATGCTTGTTCTAGTAAAAATTAAACTTAATTGCTTTCTTATATTTCCTGCAATCCTTGTACACTAAAACATATTACTCAAACATCCTTCGTAGCTATATTTAAGTGTACCTAAAAATGTAGAGAATTCGGTTTAGTAAATTGACATGTAAATATTTATGTAAGTATATTTTCGTTGTTTCAAATTTCAAACATATAGGCATTACTTTTCCATTTGAAACATTTCGGAGGTACAAAAAAAATGTTCTGTCAATTCAGGACAACTGCAAATTTTGCAAAAGGTTTAGACAAAAACACTGTAATTACATTTTGTTGCGCAAAAAACTAGTTATGTTCCCGTAGTTGAGCCTCTACCAACTGCTTGAAGTTAAATGTCTTGCAGATTTGGTAGGTCGTCTGAGAATCATGAGTAAAAATTCGTTTTAACTATAAGATTATCTGACAAATAAATATGGTAAAGTGGGTAAAAGGACTAGTTTCCAATTTTATCGCTTCACTGCATATGGTAATCTTTATTACGTCATTGAAAAATTGCATTATCATTTATGTTTACGATCTTTCCTTACACAAACTCCACGAGGAGCCTTGGTATTAGCATATGTAATTTTGTAGGACGAAAATTATTATGCAGAATACCGTTACAAAAGAATAGACCATAATAAGTTTTAGACTTTGTAACATGGACGTTATAAATTTAAGGCTCGCGCCTCTAACGCTCTTGTTATTATCCTTCCGCTCTATGTAAATGTAAACGAGTTGAGTCAAAAGGATTCCGAAACATCATAGCCGTCGGGTGAGAATTTTGTAGGAATGTGGAAATATCAATTAAATTGTCACAAAACCCACAACATAGAAGTAAGGGGTATTGGACTGATCCAATACTGACGTTTCGTGTAACAGGTAAATGGAGGTGCTATGTATTTGTCTCTACATGCCCCATGAATAGTGCTATTACCTTGTTTAACAAAATTAAATTAATTTTCATTAATTCAACTGGCGGAAACATTTCGTATATTTTACGTAAATTAAACTGACCCCAGCAGAACGAATCCGGTCTATTAAGTTTGGTAGACCGATTTGTAATCACTGCAAATTTAGTTAAATCGACGCTTAAGTGCTTCAAAGGGATACGACCTTAAAAATGTCTGTCAGGGCATGTAGAAAGTTAATTTATTTCCCCTAGAAAAGCTACGGATTGCAGTTACAAGGTCCTAGTTGGCCATTTAAATTCCTACAGCACTCTGACGACTAATAAGTTGAACTTCTCGCTTTAAATGCTTTAGCGGTAGTTTTGGGTGAGAAATATATTCCTGCTACTAAAAAGTTTTTCGTTTCAAATTACTTTTCCTTTGCTCATATTAAGTTTGAAACGAACGTTAAAAAAGTTAGCGGTAATAATAATGCATTCCTAATTAAACTTATTCATATATTTCGTACTAATATTTGTAATTACGTTTTTAATTTGTATTTATATCTTGTATACGGGGCGAGTAAACGATAAGAGTTCATTATCTCACTGGTTTCAAAAGTTATGAGAAAATGGTAAATAAAAAAGTTGAAAAGATTGTTAGAATGCACAATTTGAGATTATTTTAATGTATACAGGGTGACTTAAAAAAGCGTGATAATAGAATACACACTTGTTTATTTTTTTTGAATACGTTTTGAAATCCTTAAGTTTTTTATTAATATTAACATAAACCAAAAAGTAAAAGTTCTTTAAATATTTACATTTTTCTAAAAAAAATCTAGTGCTGATGCTTGGAAATAAATTAAGATACCGCCATTATTTTTGAAGGTATATTATTCATATTTGATATAGCGTTACTCAAAAATGACGCAAAAGGTATATGCAACGGAATTTGAATTAGATACTACAGGGTGTTCAAAATAAATGATTATATTTACATCATTTTAAATTGAAAAATATCGATTTTCTTAAATGGTACACCATACATATTCTTTTTCTGAAACAACCTATAAAAACCTGCAACTTTTATTAAGAACGTGAACTATTTCTTTCAGTCTAAGCATACTGTTATATTATTAGTTGGCTATACGAAAACTATAAGCCAGCAACAGAGCTCTGTTAAGATTAAAAAATAAACACGAGAAACAACTTTGTTGGTTAGTTTTTGGTTAGTTACATTGGAAAGTAACTGCCGAAATTGAAATTTACAGAAAAGGGAATAATAATATTTTTCTACTCCCGTCTGTAAAATGCCTAATTACGCACCGATCTAGCGTGCGGGAAGCGTCACTTTACCACGTCAGTTTCGTTTCCCATGAATCCGAGTCACTTATAACATTGCCGGGATTTTACCTCACGGATTTCGGAGCAATCGGATGTTTTCGGAGATATTTCCCACGCTTTGATTTTTAATGTTTGTGAATTCTGTCAGTGAATGTATTCGTGTTTTGCGTGCGATATCTAGCTGGGCTTCGCTCGTGTCAAATAAACTCGTGAGTCAAATGCCGTTTACTGCACTTGTTGCATAATATACTATTTTGTACTCCCGCCTGTAAAATACCTATTTAACCACCGATCTAGCGTGCGAGAAGATTCACTTTACCACGTCAGTTTCGTTTCCCATGAACCCGAGACACTTCAGATGTTTTCGGAAATATTTCCCACGCTTTGAATTTTGACGTTTGTCAATTCTGACGGTCATGTCAATGAATGTATTGGTGTTGTTTTATGAAAATGTACCCAAAAACTAACGGTCGTTGAAAAAGTATAGTATGCAACACCTTCGGTAAACTTTTTAACTTTATAACTCTTGACTTGAAAAGTTTACCGAATGAATTGCACACTATACTTTTTCTACGACCGTTAGTTTTTGGGTACATTTTCAACCAGATTTTCAAACGTCAAAAACATCCGATTGCATCCAAACTCGTGCGGTAAATGTCCGAAGTGGCTCGGATCGGTGGGAAACGAAACTGACGTGATAAAGTGACGCTTCCTGCACAGTAGATCGGTGTGTAATTAGGTATTGTACAGCCGGGAGTAGAAAAATACCTATACTATTAACTTAGTTTATTTTAAATTTTTCAAAAATATGCTGTTCTACTGGAATACAGATTTTTAATTTCTTCGTACGTTTTCTTGGACGTTCCTCAGCATAAACGGTGTTGTTGTCCTGTACGGATTCACATAAACATGATCTTTAACGTATCCTCACAAAAATATATCTAGTGGTCCATTTCTGTGGGTAATGATTATGCTTATCAAGTTCTTGAAGTTACAATATCGAGGGGTCCATCCAATGAATGCACCTCTACCGATCCATTTCTGTGGGTAATTATTATGGTTGTCAACTTCTTGAAGAAGTTGAGGTAAATTATTCTGCAAAAAGTTTAAATATATAGCACCTCAAGTGGTTAGTGACCTCAAGTGACCAATGGTTTTGGTTTTGCACTTCCTGTACCCAGAATGGATTAACTGCTGAATAATAATGCATGTTGTGACCATTAACTGCATCATTACAGTGAAAAGCAGCGTCATCGGTTGCTTCATTTATAACGTTGCAGAAATTCTTGGTGTAGTTCTGTATCGCAAAGATGATATTTGTGCTTTCTTGCTTTCTAGTCGTGGCATGTATCACATAAGCTAGTTACTTGACGACTACTGACCTGGGCACTATCTTGAACTTGAAGTAAAATGTCCAATTGTTTTTTCTCATTCGTAGCATTCCGGTTTACCACTGTCCGTTTTTCATAT